ATCTTTAGCTGACAGAGCAATACATTTAGAGCAGTAATTATAAAAATAAAAAAAATTGCATTTAAGATAAAAAATAAAATGTTGTCTGTCAATATGCTCAATTCACAATTACTTAAGTGGAAAAGTTTCAAGAAATGAGTCTGAGATGATTCACTTTATAACATGGCGCATTATCCTGTTGGAAGTAGCCATCAGAAGATTGGTACACTGTGGTCATAAGGTCCGGCCAGGTCAAGATCCGCAATTGCAATCGCACCAAACAGGAAAAAGAACATCGACAAATTCCGGTTCGTCAAATAAAAATATAGCAGCAACAGATCGGTGACTAGAAATTATAGCACAATTCTTATATATATATATATATAAAAAAAAAAAACTAACACCGTTTATTTAAATGATTGGATCCAAACTATTGGTTATTCACCAACGAGGAAGCAGATTTCTCATCTCCATCAAAATATTTATTTTATACCGAGGGACTTAAACTTTAATCAAATCCATTCAAAAGAAACTTCTTATTACAGGAATGAAAAGAGATGCTGAGTTTGGAAGTAGTGAACAAGTTCATTAAAAAAAAAGCAGTTTTGAATTATCCTTATCTCTGTTACAAAAATCTACAAAAATATATATATATATTTGGGCAGAAACTGAACATATGCTGGATGATGGTGGGATTTTTTTAATATGTCATATTAAATTAAGCGCTCACAGGGTTCATACAGGAATGAGTGACTCTAATTTAATGCTATTTTAATGCTATTTGAAATTATTTTAATGCCATCAACAAGAACCATGTACACAAGTTATTGGTGTACATGAAATATGAAGGAGCTGCAAGCAGAGTTCCATGACTCCTGTATGTATGTAAACACACACACACACACACACACACACACACACACACACACACACACACACACACACACACACACACACACACACACACACACATATATACGTATATATATATCCTCTAGCCTTTTCTCCGCCTGGAGCGATATAATATATCTGACAAAATAAAGAATTATAAATACTAAGATAAACATATTTAAATAATTTTAGTGCCAATTAAGGCCTTGATTAAAAAAAAAAAAAGAATGATTTTTTAATTATTTTTATTGATCCGTGGAAACCCTGGTTCATCTCGCGCATGCTCTGTACGATCTCCAAAGAAACTCAGAGCGGAGCGGCTGGATCCACAGTGGAGGATGTATGCTTTGCTTTGTGCAGCGGTCTGGAGCTTCTGGATTTCGGAGTAAAACTCCTCTTGGACGCGATGGCGACTCTGCATCGAACAAGACGAACTCAAAGAAGAGATGCTAGCGGTAAATATATGTTCGATTACTGCCTGCTAAGCTAAAAGCGGCCTAGCCTGAGCTACGGCTAATAGCGGCTAATAGTAGCCTTGCAAGAACAAGCTTTATTAAAGTGTATTTTTTGTGATTTACAGGTAGCAGTACGCCGTCTTAACAACTCGGAGACTAATTGCAGGCGCTATGAACCGGAGCAAGGGTAAGATTTAAAGAATATGCTTTCATTCTGCGGTAAAAGGCAATGGATACCGATCATAGCTGTACATTTTGTTTTCACAGACCTCCCATCTCGGCAAGTCCAGATTTGCACGATGTTGATAAAGACGACATTGTGTGTAAGTGACTTGTTTTAATGTTTTCTCCTTCCTTGTTACTGTGACTTGCGTTTGATTTTTTATTTATACCACTCTCATTTAATTGTTTTCCAGCTGCCTGTAGGACGTATTTTCAGACGGTACGCAGGAGCTTCAGATATACGCAGCCAGCCACACGCTGCGTGCGGAGGCTATCTGCTCGGAGTCGGGCCAGAAGAAAGAGGGTAAGACTTTATTTGGTGACTATTTTTCAGGTGCATTAATAGATGTGTTGTGTCCATACGCAGTGCGCTGATTCATTGTTTTTTTTTTTTCAGCTGCTGAAAGCGAGGCAGAGTGTGCTAGCAGATGAGGAAGTGGAACTCTGGAAGTCCGCCTTCCTCGGCGGTGTCTCTGGATGGATTGTACGGTCGCCGCCATTTCGTAGGCCGGATCTCACTGAACTCTGTGTTAAGCTGCAGTCCCGGTTAGAAGCGATGCCGAAGTACAGGGCCACGCACAGTAGGCGTCTGCACATCGGACCTGCCTCGGAGGGAATGCTGCCTGTTACCTCCAACCCCGAGGAAGCAAACGGACCGTTTTAATTTTTAGAAACGCATGTGTTTGGATACGCGTTGTATATAGTTGTGTGTGTTTTAATAAAGCTCTTTCTTTGCATAAACAGCTTCCCGGCAAATCTTCATTTCCTGTATAAATTCATTCATGTCCTTGATGGTAGCATAATAATTGTGTAGTAGTGTAGGATAACATAAATACACAGCATATGAATGAATAAATATATATATATATATATATATATATATATATATATATATATATATATATATATATATATATATATATATATATATATATATATGAATAAATATATATATGTAAATTTATGTGTAAATATATATATATGCCAACCAATCAAGAGCGACTTTACTTGTTTAAAAAGAAGTGGTTCCGTCCAATACTCAGTAAGAAAATTAAAGCCTGGCGTGGCCACGTGTGGTTTTGCTGCCAATCACGAGCGATTTCATTTGTTTGAGAATAGTGGTTTCAGCCAATACTGAGAAGTTTATTCAAGCCAGACCTGGCCAGCCGCGCGGGTTTGCTGCATTCATATGCTAATTAGGGCCATTAGTACAGCTGATCGCTCCCCACATACGTCATGGTACGTTTTCGACAATTTGTGGCACGACAAACGCGGACAAGCACGGGTTGCAAATTGTCGGAAACTGACGAAAATCAGGCAGATCTGCGGGAGTTTACGGGGGTTTACGGGGACGAAAATCTCACTTTTCATGCAGTGAGATCTATTTTTGGCTCTCTGATGTAGGATATAAACTATAAAAATGAATGTAAATGCTCCATTAGTTCTTAACTTGCTGGTCCAAAGTGGTCTACTATCAGACTTTTTCATTTTACAAGGTTGCCAGTTGCTTTCAGGGGCACTTGGTATTTATTAATTAGTGCTTCTATGTTAATTTTGTATGTCTGCTTCTCCTTGATCCCAGTCAGCCTGAGCAGATGGCCGCTAACACTGAGCCTTGTTTTGCTGGAGGTTTCCTCTTGTTGAAAAGAAGCTTTTCCTCTCCACTGTTGCAGCATGCATGCTTGGTGTGAGGGATAGTTGAAGAGCTGACACGATGCAAGCAAATACCTAGTGTCGCCACATGCTCACCAGGAGGAGCGTGTCCTGCAAGTCAATGACTTGTTGCATCAGCTAGTTTTCCTTAGATACAAAATGACTTAAAATGATATGTTATGAATGTAAATGTGTAATAATAAATAAACTGAAATGAATTGAAAATTGAACTAAACATGGAGGTAAGAGATCTAGCAGCTCTAGTGGCTAAAAGTAATACAGATTTGTTTTACGTATTTATACCCCTGGAAAATATCTTGTGGACACAAATGTAGTGTTAAGTAAATGCACTGCAAAAACTATCTAGAAATAAGTAAAAATTACTTAAATAAAGTCTATTTACCCTTAATTTGAGTCGGTAAATAAGATGATTTGCCATTGGAATGAGATGATTGAGATAAGATAATTGTAATAAGATAATTAGATAATATGTACTTGAAATAATACAACTCAATTGTTTTTTTCTTATTTTAAATGTACATTGTCTTGTTCCATTGGCAAAGTGTCTCACATACCTCCTCAATTCAAGAAAAAAAATGCACACATTTTAAGAGAAATTTTCTTATTTAGATTTTAATTCTTGCGGTGTGTAGACCCCTTAAGACAGATACCCCTTAAACAAACTCCACCAGTGTGTAATTACATCCTAGTGTAAGAAGCAGCTGTTTTAAGAAGGTTTCAGTTGTTAAAGAATAACAAAAACCTAGGAACACACCCAAAAGGTCAGACATGAAGTAGCAGAAACATTTAAAGCAGGATTAGCTTTGATTCTACGGTTTTCAGTTGACCGATTTGACAACATTGACTAAAACAATATGGCTCCATCCTAAAACTTCCAACACATGGAAGCCCACCTAAACTTCCAAGCTGGGCAAGAGGGTCATTAATAAAGGGGGGAACTGGAGATAGCCACAGCTGAGGTGTAAGAATCTGTTTACAGAATAGCTATTAGGTGTGAAGCAAAATCTAACCTTTATGGAAGCTTGGCACTTGAAAAGCTATTGTATAAAAAGAAATCAAGCAAGAACATTTCCCTACAGCATGCTGATGATACAGCAAACGTGGAAATAGATATTCCTATGAGATGAAGCCAATGCACATAATCCTTAGCATCAATATTCTGCACAAGGAAGCCTGTTGGAATTAATGGGAGGATGCATAGATCTGAAAGCAGGACAATATGAAGACTTCAAAAGACTTCAGACTAGGTATGAAATATGATGGTTTAAATCAAAACTCAACTATTCATGTTCCAAGATGCCCAGCCAAAGACCTAGTTTTGAGCCAGGGCTCCAAGAAATGCTGTTGATGGATTGCCAAACTGTTTTTTCTTAGATTGAGAACTTTGAGTCAATTTGAATGTATGCCTTGAGATGACATGTGTTGTGAATTGGTGCTATATAAATAAATTTAATTTGATTGTTTACAGACATTCGCGTTTCAATATGACTGAGCAAAATACTTCAATCTCTAAGAATTCAAATATCCTTCAGAATGTCGGACTTGAAAGAAAATCTGGCTTCATTTCTTTTTCCACAACAAAACTACATAGTGTATCTACAAATCACCTCCAATCATAGTACACTTGAAGTGGCTGTAACATACTAAAAAGTTGAAAATGTTAACAGGTGTGATTACTTTTGCAAGGTACTGTAGTTGCCAGCAGTCATGCCGCTCACTGAGCATGTCAACATTTTCCCCTCCCTGCCCTATGCTTGCAAGTGGCAGAGAGGCTATCTATAGCCCCAGTCTATTTTCAGACAGGCAGACAGGACATAGTTGAGCTCATAGTCAAACTCATTTAGTCTTAGTTGGAAAATGGCTGATCTACATTCAGGTCATGCACCAAATAATTATATGGGGCCTGTTTTAGCAAGATGAGGTCTTGGTTTGAACAGCCATGGAAGCGCCTGAAAGCCTGGGAAATGGACGACATATTGATGCCGAGAATGTGACCATTGATCTGGAGGAAACAGAGGCAGGCTGGGTGAGAGTGCGAGTGGAGGAAAGCTGGTTCCCTCTTAAGAGGGATTTTCTTAAAAGGCACAGCGACTATTTTCAAGCTCTTTTTCGCTCCAAGATGAAAGAAAGCCAAGCAGAGGAACTGTACCTGAGAGGGGGAGTGCATGCAAGAGGTTTCCTCATTGCTCTTACTGTATGCAGGGAAGAGAACCCCACCATCAGGGACCCAGATGAACTTGTTGAAGCAGTAGAGTGCGCTGCTTTCCTGCAGATCCCACCTTTGATTCAGTATCTTTGTGATATCATAGACACTGATAACTGCCTCTTGCTTTACCATGCAGCTTCCATCTTTGGAGTGCACAGACTGTTTCAGAGTGCTGCTCTGTTTCTGTGTGATGCTTTTGATGATCTCAAGGAAGAAGCAGAAAGCGCAATACCAAAAGAGCTGCTTGAGTATGCTCAGATGCTCTCCCCAGCTAGTTATATCGCTTTAGGAACCCATACTCCATCAATGGAGCTGCTACAGGACTCTTTCAGAGTTGCTTGTTTCCTTGAAGAAAAAGAAGGGGAGTGGCGGCATCTGTCAAACCTACCAACTGCTTGTAGTACCTCCCTGGCTGGGGTAGCAGTGCTTGACAATCGGCTGTACATTGTTGGAGGAATCTACGGTTACCGGAAGGACACAGTGGACAGCAGTTTCTGCTATGATCCCGATTCAGGGATATGGACAACTCTTCCAGGTCCACAGCAACCAAGGTACGACTTTACATTGCTTGGGCATGAAGGACAACTCTATGCCATTGCTGGAGAAGCTCAAAGCACATTAATTTCCAGTGCAGAAAGGTACAACGCCGCAAAGGGAGAGTGGAGATTTATAAAACATGCACCCAGACCTGTGGCATCTCCAGCATCTGCCATTGCTCGTCGACGAATCTTTGTTTGCTTCTGGAAACCTCCTGACACTACAGACATTTACGAGTACATGCCACTGAAAGATGAGTGGAATCTCACCACCACCATGATCAGACCTCAAAGCTATGGCCACTGTATGGTGGCCCACAGGGACAATTTGTATGTGATGAGAAACGGGCCTTGTGATGATTTTCTGCGCTGCCTGATGGACTGCTACAACGTCACAAATGGCCAGTGGACAGCCATGCCCGGACACTACATAAACAGCAAGGGGGCGCTGTTCACTGCAGTGATAAGAGGAGACTCTGTGTTCACGGTAAAACATATGTTGACTCTTGAATACACCATCACAGTAGATGGTTGGAAACCCCGCAGACAAATGAAGGGATTTCCAAAGAGTGGCTCTCTTTGGACTTGTCTACTCAGGCTCCCCAAAACTGGACCAGTTACACCAAAACCGGACGTGGATGAGGGACAAAGAGAAATTGCTTTGCCAGACATGTCAGAGAGATTTGCAGACATTCTGCAGCAGATGTGAAGTTATTCCAAAATATAATAATGATTAAAAGTCTGTGAGTAAAAAATTGGAATATCTCTTAGGCTTTTTAAAAGACAAAAGGCTCTTGATACATCTACTTACACACACACACACACACACACCCACACACACACACACACACACACACACACACACACACACACACACACACACACACACACACACACACACACACACACACACACACACTCAATATGTACTCAAAGATGTGCTGACACTTCACATTTGCACTGATAAGTAACAGCTGCGGTGGTTTGAACCTTGAGAGGCAGCAGTGTGTGTAAAGTTCAAAGGCACTGATGGGATGTTCTAAAATTCTTATTCTCTTTCACACTGGGCCAGCTCAGGAACCAGCAATTTCCTGGTCAACATAAAGGCCCACCGTTTACATACTTCTAAGGAATCATTGCTTACTGGGAGTACTTAATCGCTGGTGTATTTGGTAGGGGTTGCATCTGTGGCTTGTAAACCTGTCTTATTAGGTTTACAAACCCTATAAGACATTGCTTCCACTTGTTTTAGCTAAATTAAAGCTAATAGAGTTATAAATACGATGGTGTGCATTATATTAATGATTGCAGTGCCCATCATCACAATGCCTTGCAATAGCATTCACAGACCTTGCTCTTTCTCATTTGGTCAAGTTACAACCAAAATTCATTAATAATTGTGAAGTGCAAGAAAAACTTTTTTCATTTTTCATTCTTTATAAAAATGTATTCATTTTTCACTAAGTAAAAAACTAAATTTGATATCCCTCATAAAAATAGACGCTTCAGTCATTAAATAAATAGGGCCAACTGGCATGCATGAGGTCGGGTGTGTAGGATTTGGTTGGCAAAATGACTTTGCAATGCAGAATTATATTCATCTCTAAAAATCAAGTACTGTACTTCAAATCCTTAAGCTAGATGGTATTTTAGGAAATATCTTTGTTTTGTTCCGTAATATTTGCTTAGATTTTATAAGATGCTTGTTTAGTAAATTTAACAAACTGAAAATAGAAATTTCTATTACTAAATACATACCCAGTTAAATGTAAAAAAAAAAGGGTTTTAAACTGCAAACGAGGCATTGATGCAAAACTAGGATTCTACTTGCCTAATGCATAATCCAAGCTAATGAGATGAGTTTCAATTCCAGCCTAGACTGAAATCTGACAAGAGTAGAACAAAAATAAACAATAAAGACCAATAAAGTTGGGTGGTGTGGCAGCGCATTATAACTATGTATAGAGGTCTTATACTTCGACCTGGCCATCACGGGCCAGGTGATCTCCTTCTCTCAAAAACCTATTTCCTGTTTTCTCAACTTCAAATAAGTAAAATAAGTAATAAGTAAAAAAAAAATTATAATAAAAGAAAAAAAATGACAAAGAGAAGCAGATGAGTAGAAGAAGAAATTGATAGATGCTTAAATACGTAACATAAAGCAAGAAGAAAAGCAATTTAAAAAACTCTTTAAATGGTTTCTTTTTCACAATGTCCTTTTGTCATTAAATGTAGTTTATTGTATTTTGCAATGTGCAATTTATTTTAGCAGCTTACAAAGTTTCACTAACTGTATTATCTATCCAGAAGTTGAAGCTCAACTGTGATGAAAACAAAATAAAAGCAGACTTACTGTTCTGGGTGGCGGCAGGTCAGGAAGGCTCTTCTGTGGCACTGGAATATTTTTTGCTGCTTTTCCATTAATAAGGGCATCTAAATAGTCATCTGTTACATAGAGGCAAAGAAGAAGAAAAATGAATGTATATAGGGAATCTATAATCTAAAACCATGGTCTTGTATTGTTTGCTTTGGTAATTACAAGAACCTATGGGAAATCTAATAACTGAGCATTATGCAAGAATAGACAGAGAGTATTGTTTATCAAGCACTCAATCTCCAGATGTTTCACTGTTCTCCTTAGCAGTCATGTTTCCTTAGAGCCCTTTGAGAGCACAACCTTTTGTTATTTAAAACACACATACCAAATAAATCAGTCATATGTAGAAGTATTGTGCATGACAGGATCAATATAATACTTTGATCCATGCACAGTAGTAGTGAGATTGACTGGAAGAATAAGCCTTCCAACTTGGACACTCTTGATTTAGCATTCAAAATATAAATGCAATAATTAATTGAAAGTATCAATTTGAATCCAACAAAATTGAATTATAATATAATATTCCGTTCCTCTATTGCACCTTTAACTGATACTAAAGACAAAACCTAAACAATAAGCTTTAAAAGGGGCAATGTTACATGTCTGCTTATCTTTTCATCAGTTTATTTTTTCACTCTGCATCACACAGCACACTATACTCGGCTCTTTAACCACAACTAGTTATCCTATGTTTATCTATTTAGCAACACATCCTTTTAGATTAATAGTCTCCTCCCAGCACGGTCTGGCTTGAAACAATCCCTGCAATGAAAAACGACAACAAACAACAAAGTGTAAAGGACAGGCTTGTAATTGAGCTATAAAGTTTTGAGGTCACATATGGAGGAAATCAGTCCTTCTTTCTCAAACACGTATTAAAATTTTAGACTAAAGCCTCTGTATCTGCTGATCATGAAAGTTCAAATCTTTCATCTCAGCGCTCCATCAGTCTCTGTAAAAGAAAACCTGCAGCTCTTCTATTGCTGCCACTGAAAACCGCTCTTTAGTCTGGTCCTTGCTCAAACCGCAGTGTTTAAACACCACAAAGAAAACAGGTCAGTCTCAGATAGTGAGAAGGTTTCAAAGAAACAGACAGGAAATCGTACGAACATGAGGACAAATGAAAGAGCGCCTCTGCTTGAAGCAGTTCATCTCCTCTGCTGCGTATCTACAGCTAAATTGGGCTTATGATGTGTTAACATCATGTATGTAGGTAATATTTTACAAATCCAACAAGAGTCCTTTTATTGTTTTTTTCTTCGAGGTTTATCAAAAAGTATTTGTTGCATGCTTCTCCATTGAACATTATAAATTCTCTTGATAAAAAAAATAACCATCCCAACCGAAACTTTAGAAAAACAAATGACAATGAACCCAATCCAACGATTGCCCGAAATAAAATAGAAATTACCCCTAAAACTAATATATGCTTGTGCAACCATAAAAAAGAAAAGTGTTATCAAGCCTTTGCAATAGCTAGCCATAAGTCTTTGACATCACTGTGGAGTTACTTATGGCCACTCTTCTTTTCAGAATTGTTTTATCCAGATGCAGTGGAGGATCTCTGGACTTAATGGCCTGCTTAAGGTCACACCTCAACATTTCTATATCTTTAACTAGGATAAACCCAAACACATCATTGGGTTTTTGAGACCTCCAGAAGGATTTATCTAGTGTTTCCTGGTTACTAACATACTGCATAACTCAACTCAACTAGTGTCAGCATCCTAATAATTCAACCTTCTTCTTGAAGATTATTTGTTTGACAGTCAATGTCATTATTCCATCAATTACAGAAAGATATCCAGGTCCTCAAAGAGCCAAATACCTCCCGTCTCTGGAACTCTCTACCAACCTTACTTAGAAAAACAGACTCACTTCTCCATTTTCAATCAACTCACCTGTTTAAAATTACCTATTCTCTTTAATATTAATCTCCCTGTCCCAGCTTTTTTTTATTTTTTAAATGGTTTTATTCTGTGTTTCCATGTGCGTTGTTTCTCCCATTGTGTTTTAATCTTTTGTACGGTGACCTTAAGTGTTTTCAAAGGCGCCTTTGAAATAAAATGTATTATTATTATTATTTTATATATAAGGACAACCTGCAAAGCAAATCATTTTAAATTCATACTAATAGTGTGAGTCCCTTAAGGTGGGACGTTTTTATATTTCCAGTTCAGCGCATGTCATCAGAATCAAGTCATGTTGCATTAGGACAAAAGTTACAATGATTCTGTAGTTATAGCCAACATTTTTTTCATTAAAAACAAATGAAGTTGAAATTAAAAGCTACAAGTGTCTCTTATTTCAAAGCTAGATCATTTAAGACTCTCACCTTTGTCATTTTTGTCTTTCCCAGAAACTGGCACTTTGTTCATGTAGATATATTCCTCGTCACCTCCTATGCAAAACAAGAAGTGGTCAACAGTTTTGGAGGCGTGAAGAACAATCTCAGACCACAAAGTTTCCACTCAAACAAAAACATCACGCATTACATGTAAGGAACATTTAAAAACCCACAGTGAAGTAAAAAAGAACCAGAAAAATAAGGTAGTTTTACTTTAAAAAAAGATAGAAAATATAATACCACATAATTAATAAATAATAAAATATAAAATAAGAGTTAAAAAAAATACATTATTTCATGACATCTACCGTGTGTGACAACAGAAAATAATCAAGGATCATCCATGTGCCTGACAGTCGTATAATGATGTCCATAAGGTTAAAGAATGTCCGCACTGGTCACAGGAGGATAGGTTTTTGTTACCGTGGTTACAAATCTGGAGATTTGAGTTTAAAGAATGAAAGTTTCCATTTGGAATCATAATTTTCGCTATATCTGTTTTAAATTAATACAAAACATAAAATGTAATACATTATGAAATAAGTGTTTTTTAATACATTTATGATTTAAAAGGTATTGTGGAGGATTTTTGTGAATTTTCGAAAAGACCCGCCCCCTCCACTTAAAAAAAAAATAAAAATGCACATATACAACCCTGTACCCAGTCCTGAGAGAAAACGCCTATTACACACATGTTAGAGACCAGTTCTCCTTGTGCATGTCACACTCACTACTGGGGTTATGCCGAGAAATACCTCCCCTGTTGCAGGAGCATGCAACACCCTTAACTGATGCACGTTGATGAGAAAATTGATTGAAATATGAAAGAAAATGAAACTTTTAAACAAATTCTAAATGTTTTGTCAGAAATTATATAGACTGGTGTTGATAGCAAAAGCAGGAAATGCCATTCACAGTATAGAGAATATTTTCATTGAACACTGACTGTCGCACATCGACTAAAATGTGTCTCCATAGTCCATACAAGTAAAAGTTGTATTCATTTGAATTAATCTGTCCACCAAAACTCTCTATTTTAGGGCATCGATGCATAAGAAATTAGGGGTATAAATAATAATCGTGCTGTATCGATGCATCGATCCAACAGACGATTCATTTATTTTTATTTTTTTTCCTCCGGTCTATTTTTATCCATTTGCTTCTGGATGTAGTTCTGACTCCTGTGCTTTGGTGGCGCTAAACCAATTTTGCCCTCCTACCTCGCTTCCTTTAGCCACTGCCCTATTTCCGCTTCCACACACACACACTCGTGTAAACACAGAGGTGTTATTATTTTTCAGTGAATGAGGTTTTCATAGGCCTAGGTGGAGTACAACTCAGCTACCTTTGTTATTTACTGTTGATTCTCAAAAAAAATGCATAACGAATCGAATCGTATCGTGGTTTACTCATGAGTGTTGAAAATAATTGAATCGTCGGGTCAGGAAATTAATACTGAATCGAATTGCCACTCAAAACTAAGGAGAATTTAAACAAGCCAATTAATCTAACAGTGATGTTTTTAGACTGTGGGAGGAAGCTGGAGTACCCGGAGAGAACACATGCATGCTCAGGACGAACATGCAAACTCTATGCAGAAATACCCCAAGCCGGGAATCAAACCCTGAACCTCCCTACTGCCCCACTGAGCAGCCCCCACAATACATTTAAATGGATAAGATCTATCGATGATGAAACTTAAAGAACAAATATTCAGTGGAGAATATTACCACAAAACAGTCTTGAACAAGAAACCTCCAGGTTGCAGCTCATACAAACAGAGCAAAGCCTGTTATTATAACCTGTTTTGGGATGCGATTATGCAGCTGAAGCACTGATGTTGTGCAAGGCTGTTTCACTAAACTTCACATTTCAGCTGACTAAGATTTTAGAGAAAATCAAACAAAACTCCACTCTCAGGGTGAAACTTTCGCAAAGCATCTCCTTTGAAACTGATACCATGAGGTGAAACCAAACAGCAGCAGAATAAAATGTTTTGCATGTACAGTGAAAACAGATTTTTTTAGGGAACAGAGTTGAAAGGCTATTTATAAGCTGCTTTGCAAAGGAAGTGGAGCATCCCCCAGAGGATAAAAGCAGCTTTGGAAAAATGATACAGCCTGGAGCCAGAAGAGGAGGTATGAAGAGACGAGTCCAAGACCTGAACATGGAAAATCATGACTGCTTGTTTGATTGTTATAGAACAAGTCTCTGAGAAAAGACCTAATTTCAAATTACTTTTTCCAATCCAGTGGGGTCAGTGTGGGAAAAAAGCAAAAAACAACTTAGTACTCAGACTTGTTCTACAATTTAATTTTCTTTAGAAAAATTAAATTTAATTTTCCAGACTAATAACTCACCTGGGAGTTTACATCCAAGAGGGAGGCTTTAGTTCACACAATAACTATCTGGACTTCCAGGTAACATAAATTACATCAGCTCACCAGCATGGCTACCATTTCCATGCTTGGTGTCACAGCCAGTGAGTAAAAATTATAAATCCATCTTCACAATTTAAACTGAACACTAATATCATTTTTTTAACGAAAATTGCAAAAAAGGACACTCATCTTTTTTCATGCTGAGGATGAAGTTTGTGGACTCCCTGATAGTAAAGAATTACAATAGTCCAGCATGGAAAAAACAACTGACTGTGTGATCTGGTTGAATTGTAAAGTGCCTTGTATATGTGTTGTTAATCGGCCCTATATAAATGAACTGAACTGAAGCAGAAATGGAGGCAAATGTGCCACAATTTCTAGAAAGTGTTATTTGATCAAACAGAATATAATAGAAAAGGGGATTACACCTGTGTACAAGTGCATAATGTTTTAGTCTATGACCCAATTCAAGATAATTACCTGTCTGTTTAAAAGGAACTGGTAGGCCTATTTCTGAAGAGGCAGTAAGACTACGCTGTAGGATCACTGCTGTGATTTCCCTGTGTTGTCTCTCTAAATCTGTAATTTAGCTCAATGTTGCTTGCAGTGCTAATAGCGAACATACTTCCGTCCAAAAAAGTCAGAATTCAGATATTAAAGTCAGAACTTTTAAACAGAAATTGGAGTTTTGAGATCAAGGTAAATTCTGAGATTAAAGACAAAACTCTGTTTTGCTTTGTGTCGTTCCCCACCTTTAAAAAACCTCTGTAACCAAAGGCTTCTCAGGGCTTATATAACGGAACCAGAGTGTAGGACCGAGAATTCGAGGTGAGACAGTGGAAAAGTTGAAAGCGTTTATTAACATAAACAAAAATTGAGGAGCTGTGGATCTGCAGCGGCTGCTTGGGGAGGCAGGGAACCACCCATCACTGGCACTCTGGTTTAACAGTTCAATCCATCCTCTGGGGTGAGGCGGGATCCAGCCGATAGACTGCAAATGAGTTTCGATGCGGAGCCGCCCAGAGGGTCCACAATGCAGCAGCCCCAGTGAACAGGCAGGAGTCTGAGTCAGGTCAGGCAAACAGTTTGGAACAGGATGGTTCTGAGATCCAGGAGTCCGTAGCCTAGCCAGGGGTTCCGATCAGTACAGGAACAGACAAATCCGGGGTTCCAGGACTCCACAGAGCTTTCAGGCAGATTCAGGGTTCCAAGAGTCCAACAGAGGGTTCAGGCAGAAACGTTCAGATGGAAAACCCACATGCCCAGTAGTTGAGAGGCAGAACAAGACATGATATCAGGAAAACTATGGAACTTCAAAGAAACTCCTTCCACAGAGCCAAAACAGGAACATGGCAAGCTCAGTGAACAAGAATCAGGAAATTATCAGGAAACACCAAGACAAGACTAAAAACCCTCTCCAACCACTGGCCTCTGAGAAGAGCACATGAAACATGGAAATCAGCAATGATCTCCAACTAAAAACTCTAACCCAACAAACAAACAACTGGACTAATGATGTGGCGAAGCAGCAAACCTATCTCTAAGGTTTAATACAGACAGGAATAACCGTCTTTGGGTTGCAGCTTATTTTCTTTTTTTCCTAACCTTTTCACAGATTATTTTAGATCTTTAATAAGCTGTTACCAACCCTAAAATTATCCGCTGTTTGAGCCTATCCATATATCACCCAGGAATTTTCTTGAGCCATCACCTGTCTCTGTCGCTCTACAGCCATCGTCTTTGGCTCTCTTTAAATAGCTCCTCACAGCCATCAAAGTCTCTGCATCTCGGTACCTCCACATTTTAGCAGCTGTTGCTAGGCCACTCTAAAGCAGCGTCTGCCCAACGAGTTTTCAAAAGTCTATGCTGTTGTTGACCCAACTGAAAACTCAGGAAAAGGCCTTGTGGTACCTTCTGAGTCTAAACCATGAGAATCAAAACGATAGGGTCTTCTGCATGGAATAAATGCCATCTTATCACAGATTATTTTAGATCTTTAATAATCTGTCTACAGCATTAAATATCGTCTTTTCCACTGACATTAAACCTGTAAAGCATTTATATCTGTAATTCATAAATCTATTAATTAAATTCTTGGCCTATATGTACCACCAGCTGTCAATATAGGCTCTTTATTTTAACTTTTATTTAGAACTGTCCAACCAGTAATTTTCTACATTGGATTTATGCACACCAACCTCAGGGATGACCTGAATCTGGAGAGTCTAAAAGCAATAATCTATAGAGTCCGATCAGCTGATAACTGATAATCATCCTGGGTCAGGAAACATTGAAAATCCCTGAAAAAATACCTTTCCTCCTAACTCTCCCATTTGCAAGTTCTCAGGCATAGTTAAATCGTCCACCGCTAACCATTATGCACTGGTTGTTCGTGAGCATTTAATTGTTTGCAGCAATTCTTGTGAATCCCTTACACCTTCTTACATTTATTTATCGATTTGTTGAATGAATTACCCCGCTGATCACCAGAGAGAGGAATATAATGGGGATGAAATATTTAAACATCTGCAGGCTTTGATATGAATTTAACGTGTCTTTTTTTAATATTTGTGGCAGGACCCTTCAGTGACAATACTGTATGTATCACACTGTGGTAATGGATCTGATAAAGTTGATCTATGATAAAGGTTTCATATGAGGTGAAATTAAATGTTTGAGAGAATTTTTTTAAGTAGCTATGTAACAGCCTAGAAGGTTAGGCTAGCATTAGCCTCATCTTTTTTTTTTTTTTTTCCCAATTCTGGAGAAATCTCAACAATGAAAGTTAGTTTTGGGTATGTCTGATAGTAGAAAAATAAATAAGGAGGGCTTAAAATTTTAGCAGTTTTACCATTAGCACTGGAGATGCACGTCTAGTACATCTTTTTGGAAGTCCAACTGAAGACTGTCAAAGTTCAACCTCTACAAAACACATTTTCATCTTCCTTTCAGCCATTATTAATTACTTTGCTGATTTGCTGTTGCATATTAATATAATACTAATGATTATTTTGCAAATCAATAAATCTGTTGATTATTTTTTGATTAATCTATTAATAATCAGATAGCCAAAGGGCTCCTTAAAGAAGATTTATGAAACTAAATCAGTTGAATTTATTTCTTTTCCACTTGAGGAGTTCTGAATAGAGCATATTGACAGACAAAAGTTTTTTTTTTTATCTTAAATGCAAAATATTTATATATTTTTTAACTATTTTAATCTATTTTGTTGTATTTCCTGCTCTAAGTGGGTTCCTCTAAAGCTCTTAAGGCATGTTGTCTCTATACTCCAGGTAACAATTAATTAATTACTAAATTAGTTGACAATTGTTATTTCAGTTAATGGATTAATCACAATTAATCCAATTAATTGTTTCAGCCCTAACTAGTATCAATATGTTATATTACTACACAGCTATGTATTCTTTTAACAGCAGCCCAATTTGACCTCAGATCACACTGAAAAGAACTGAATCTAAAACTTGAGGGTCCTTTGATTCCTAGGAACTCAATTGTGTTTTGCAAGAACCAATGACAGCATCAGGGTTAACCACACACATATATATAACCACATATATATTTCTGTCACCCACTCCCTTACAGTTTCCAACAGCAACTATCTGAATCAATCTTAAGCTTAAATTCCTTACCAGGAATTTTAAGGCTAAGGCAGTGTGAGGAGGTATTCCCCCAAACTCCATCCCCACTCGGTATGCACCAGATGCTGATTGATGGGTGAGCCAGATGCCTTTTTATAGTTGCGCAGGTGGCTGTTACAGTGCACATCTTTGTTCCTGCTGCAGGTCAGCTATTTTTGTGGCTGTGTTTTAGGGATCTAATTTAAGATTTTAAATAGGTGCAAAATGCAGCAGAGCACTGTGTTGAATTCTAATTAAAGGGATTTGAAAATTCCCCATGTAGTGCAAATATGACGCTTACCGTGTGATGCAGAGACTCTAATCAAGTCTCTAATCAAATTACAAATCGAGACTCTGCATCACACTGTAAACATATTTGCACTACACGGCGAATTTTGAAATCCCTTTAAAAAGATTTCAACTCAGTGTTCCACTGAATTTTTCACCATATTTAATCTTTTATTTTTGCACTGCTACGAACCTTCCACATCAATACCTTTTTGCAACACATCTCTCCTACATTGTTTACATTTTGATCACTGCTGCACTTTATGAATGATAATTTTCATTTCACTGCACTGATGAAAAAAAAATGTATGCATCGAATATGACCACAAAGTTTGTCTAAGTCTAAGCGAAGTTTTTTAGTTGGAGTGGCTGGGATTTGGCTGTTTGTGCAGTGATGGCATTACCAGCTGAAAATAATGTGTTTTTGATTTAATAATAAATCTTCTTGATCTTTGCATTACTGCACATTTTGTTTTTGTGGAATAATTGTATATCTGTCATTGTGCCATCCCCTCTGTTTATGATCTGTATCAAGGATCCAGAGTATAGCTGAAGCCTTTGTTTTATTTATTTCTTTTTTTTAATAGGTTACCTGTTTTAATTAAATTGAAGACAACATAATAATTGTATAGAACTCAGTCAGTCATCCATTTGTGAAACTGGATTTTAATTCATTGGGTAAAACCATTTCTCCAACTGTTGTTACAATAGAAACACTGAAAACTACTTTTTTTGTGGAAAAAAAGGACAAAAATTTTTTTCAAGATTGCACAAACATTGAGCCAAACTAATTGAAATGTTACTTTGTGGACAGGGATCACTTTGTCTTGAAAAAACAACATGTGAGACTCCCCATGGATCTATTTTTGGATCATTTTTATTCCATACTTTATGCTCCCACTTGCTTACTCTGCTTTTTTAAATAAATTTCATTCCTTAATCTTCAGGAGAAATAAATAGTTGTCATAACCTTAATTTAAAGAACTTCTAAAATGTATTATGCAACTTAACATTAAGGGCTCACAACACTACCACTTAATAATCATTAAGAAAATAAAAATATTTGTTTGCCCCAAATCAAAAAACTCAAAAGATAACTCACTTGTGGACATAATAGGGCAGGTTTTGCTTCCTCTTAATTTTTGCTTCCAATTTAAGTCCTTTTTTAACTGAACTAGTTTTACAGCCAAGGCTTTTTTTTTTTGTAACCTTTCACTTCTTTTTTCAAATGCACTGCAAAACATGTAAAAATGTTGCCGTTTAATCGCCTATAAAATCAGTTTCTAAATAAACAAAAAAGGAGAAGGAAGTTCAGAAGTTTCAGTGTCTAAATTGCTTTTATTTATAACCTTGAAATAAAAGTGTTTCAAGGTTCCCTGTATTAATAAGCAACATGGCGGATATTTTTAGATGGAAATAAAGAGACCTTGACCTTTTAATTATCTTCGTTTGACCCCTAAAACCTTTAATTCATTCAGTTGTTTCCCTTACTTGTAAATCATAAGGTCTATTCAGTGTATTTTTATTATAATTAATGAATACCTGTGTCTGTAGCATCTGAACTATCTTTTTAAACACCAAGATTTGTTTACATATTACCATTTGTGGATTTGTATGACTGCAGGAGGTCTGACAGCAATCCCTTCTGGATGGTGGCATTCCCACTAAGATTCTCCCTGTCCAGGAGGAGCAGGAAGCGGTGGAGCTCCATCAGGAGCTGGTCCAGCACTGAAAAGCACAAACAGCAAAAGTTTCCATTTAAAACAAAACAAAAAGTCAATTTATTCTTATCACACAATGCTTAACATGAGAATATTGGATGTTTTATTAGGATTCAACAACATATCCATAACACTTTCCTATCAGCAAGTGAAAAGCAATGAAGGAAATTCTTTTGTTTCTTTAACTTTATGTTATGCGCCACACGTTTATATAGAAGAAGCTCTTCTGAACTTTTCTTCTGGCAGCCATTGATAATTTCTATCAATCTGTTGCCATCAACAGTTGCAAGTATGTTCATGGTTGTTTGGAGGACTCTGGTAAAGGTCAATTTCAAAAGAGAGAGGAGCCTCAGCCTGTTCTGAGTCTGGCTCAAGCCCACACACATCCTTCAGGGGTCAGCCCTGAGTTCAAGGCCCTTACTTGCTGTGTGTAGAGTCTTTGTATTTCACTTTACTGTCTCTTGGCTTCATGAAAAAGCCCCCTTGCTAAAAAGGGCCTCAGAGAGGACTTCCTCTCTCTCTGAGAGGGGAGAGTAGGAAATGAACAGTTTAATAGTGTAACTAAGACCGTCCTTCACTGCAAACATTGTAATTTTGTAATGTAAAAGAAAGGACAAAGATAAATCATTTATCATAGAGTGATAAATATCTTACAACATTAAGCTGAAAAAAAGTTGAATAGATAATGATTGATACTTGGATGATCTATTAGATTTTTAGTTTACGATTTTAGTGTTTTAGTCAAAACTAAAAAGCATTTTAATCAGTTTATAATTACATTCACCTTCATGAAATCCCCTCCGTTCCATTTTCTAGAAAAAAACAACCTCCAAAATGATGCTGCAACACTATGAGTATGGCAAAGATTTACAAATTTTTACTTCTGACCCCTAAAATGGCACCAGATTAACTCAAACTTTTCATCAACATTAGTTCTCCATAGTTGTAATAATATTACAAATGCCATCAACAACCAAAGTAGTTGGTTTTGTCCATTTTAGGTGATGCTTTTATATCTTTAATCACCAACATAAATGTTTAGTTAACTTTCTTAAGTGGATCTCAAGACCCCATCCTGGTTTATTTCGGACGCTGTCGGAGGTCGCGACCCCAACTTTGGGATTTATTGGTTTATAGTCTTTTTTGGTGAATTGCAATGATTTCTTTGAATCTGAGGTTTCCTTTTTGTAACTTAAATTCAAAGAGGCCTGGATACTTGCTATTGTTTCTCTTGAAGGATTCTATGCGATGCACCCTAAGAGCGGACCTATGGAGAACCCAGGTTATAGTCTCATGAAGAAAATGAAGAGCTGTTATTAGAAAGCTGCTTTAGTTTTTCTCTTAGTTCTCTGGTAGTTTCCCTAAAGCATACACTGTGCGAATTTTTTGAAACGGGTTGAGTTTCAGCCTCATCGTGGGTCCTGCGTCGTGTAGTATACAGTTCATAACACTAGTTATCTATATATTATATTCATCTATTAGTAAGATTTTGTTTATAATGGTATTCATCTCTATACTTATTCAGTAGAAACCCATGTCGTGTATTTTTGGAACCATCATTTATCCTGCACTTCCTGCTATTGCGCTTCCTGTTAGACCTAAACATCATTTCGTTGCCCTGTACCTGTACTTGTGTAATGACAATAAAGTTGAATCTAATCTAATCTAATACAAGGGGTAACGAGGGTAACCTTGAATGGTGAGGTCGAGAGAAAATCAAAAATGTTTGAAATTCAGTCGGCCCCGTGAGGTATTCGCGGGCAAATCCTGTTGTTGAAGCAGAGCTACGAGCCGATTTACCAGAACCTAGAGCACTGCGCATGTACAAACAAGGGAGTTCTTCTTCCAGATGGACGAGTCAGCCCTGCACCATCACTCTGCGCTCAGTTCAACGTGTGGTTTTTGGATGTGCAGTGTGAGCAAGTAGATTGCATCAGAGCGTCGGTCCCAGTGTAACAACATGCATCGTGCTGTGAACTTTTAAACTCTGCAATTTAATCGTACAGTTTGAGCTGTAGCCGAGTACTGCGATTGAAAATATCGTACAGTGTATGACTGGCTTAACCAGTTTCCATTTGTCTTTAAGAGCTCAATTTTCAATTATTATAGAATGGTTTGACTGTGTCAGGTAGCTTATTTTTTATATGCACTAGTAATTTCCCTTCTCCTGACTGATAATTTTGTAGAGATAATTTGATTTTTTGTGATCTCTCTGCAACTTTGACTTTTACTAAAAGATGCAAATGTCAGAACAAGAACACATTAACTTTATTTCAGGTGTAACACATTTACAAGTAGGTAAACTAAAGAAGACTTAAATCTCAGTGTGATAGTGTCAGTGCAACATGTGCTATTCTATGAGGTGCCCCCAGGGACATAAATCAGAATTAACTTGCATATACACATATTAAATTACACTCTTCCATATAATATACTGAAAACCTCACACAAACACTAGTAAAAAGCTCTCACATAAACTAGTGAAAACATTTACCTCTTATATAATCTACTCAAAAGCTCTCATACAAAGTAGTGAGAACTGTTCATATAAACTGGTGAAAAGCTTTACCTTTCATACACACTACTAGAAAGCTTTCATATACACTATTAAAAAGCTCTCATATACACTAGAACGCTCTCATATACACTATTAGAAAGCTCTCATATACACTATTAGAACGCTCTCATATACACTATTAGAAAGCTGTCATATACACTATTAGAACACTCTCATATACACTATTAGAACGCTCTCATACACACTATTAGAAAGCTCTCATATACACTATTAGAACGCTCTCATATACACTATTAGAACGCTCTCATATACACTATTAGAAAGCTCTCATATACACTACTAGAATGCTCTCATATACACTATTAGAACGCTCTCATATACACTATTAGAACGCTCTCATATACACTATTAGAACGCTCTCATATACACTATTAGAACGCTCTCATATACACTATTAGGAAGCTCTCATATACACTATTAGAACGCTCTCATACACACTATTAGAAAGCTAAAATATATGGTCCCCCTCCTTTAATTTAGGCAAACATTGCTCAAATATCACCGAAACCAGATGGTTTGTTGTTGATGAAGAGAGGAATAAACACAGTTTAAGATTTGCAGCTAAATTAATTTGTTTCCATATTATGGAACTGCTATCAGGCACTTCCCATCATCTTATATCAGTAATAAAAAATTATAAATACAAATTTGGTATTTGGTGACTTGACTTTTATTTCTGTCAGGCTGAAGTGAAAAAACTTGGAAAGAGACTGATTCTCTTGGCGTTTAAAATAACAACACAAAACAGCATAAGAAAACCGCATTTATTTTTTTTATTTTACAATTTTGTAAACAACAGCGGCTGATTAAACTAAATGTCTCAACCTTGTATAATTTTACAACTTTTTATTTAACCAAGAAATGATCCGAAAGGCCTGGGAAATGATCAGATCCGCTTATATGGCTGCAATGCGCGGCGCGCTCCCGACACAGGTGGAACAGATTTTCACATGGGAACAGAATTTCGCACAACACCGGAAAAGGATCTCTGTTGAAGCAAAAACATAAAAAATAAAGTCGAGTAATGCCCATGCTTCTGTGAGTTGTTTAGCGGATAGCTGAGTATGAATCAATAATTTTATTTGATACAATTTCGGCCGGAGATAGCACAAAATGTACGGAGCTAGCCAGAATGACCTCCGTTTAAAACAACTTCCGGTGTAATGACGGTCCTTCCTGTTTCACTGAAACACCTTCCGTTTCAACTGAAACACCTTCCGTTTCAACTGAAATCCGCTAATAGCTTTTCAGTAGTGTGTATGAGAGCTTTCTAGTAGCGTGTATGAGAGCTTTCTAATAGTGTATATGAGAGCGTTCTAATAGTGTTTATGAGAGCGTTCTAATAGTGTTTATGAGAGCGTTCTAATAGTGTTTATGAGAGCGTTCTAATAGTGTTTATGAGAGCGTTCTAATAGTGTTTATGAGAGCGTTCTAATAGTGTATATGAGAGCGTTCTAATAGTGTATATGAGAGCTTTCTAATAGTGTATATGAGAGCGTTCTAATAGTGTTTATGAGAGCGTTCTAATAGTGTTTATGAGAGCGTTCTAATAGTGTTTATGAGAGCGTTCTAATAGTGTTTATGAGAGCGTTCTAATAGTGTATATGAGAGCGTTCTAATAGTGTATATGAGAGCTTTCTAATAGTGTATATGAGAGCGTTCTAATAGTGTTTATGAGAGCGTTCTAATAGTTTTTATGAGAGCGTTCTAATAGTGTATATGAGAGCTTTCTAGTAGCGTGTATGAGAGCTTTCTAATAGTGTGTATGAGAGCGTTCTAATAGTGTATATGAGAGCTTTCTAATAGTGTATATGAGAGCTTTCTAATAGTGTTTATGAGAGCGTTCTAATAGTGTTTATGAGAGCGTTCTAATAGTGTATATGAGAGCTTTCTAATAGTGTATATGAGAGCGTTCTAATAGTGTATATGAGAGCTTTTTAATAGTGTATATGAAAGCTTTCTAGTAGTGTGTATGAAAGGTAAAGCTTTTCACCAGTTTATATGAACAGTTCTCACTACTTTGTATGAGAGCTTTTAAGTAGATTATATAAGAGGTAAATGTTTTCACTAGTTTATGTGGGAGCTTTTTACTAGTGTTTGTGTGAGGTTTTCAGTATATTATATGGAAGAGTGTAATTTAATATGTGTATATGCAAGTTAATTCTGATTTATGTCCCTGGGGGCACCTCATACTATTCAGTGTTCTCTACAACATATGTAGTGTGGAAATATTTTAGAAATGTATGATCTTAATACAACTCAGAAATTGCTATGTAAAGTGTGGTAATTGCAATAGATTTACTGTATCTCTAGCTGCTAAGTAAAGAAGCTTTACAGAAACAGAAAGAAAAACGACTAACTTCTCCAACTTTGAAAGAACTGACCTTTACATACCGTTTAAAAAAACAAACATCACTTTTATAAAGACA